GCATCTTAGTAAGTGCTTCAGCAGATGGAAGATTGTCTCTCTCCTATTTTGGGGGGGCTGGTGTGATGGCTCAACTAATCCTCCACCTCCAAGTGCAGCATCCCATATGGGCACTGGCTCATGTCCCAGCTAATCCACTTCCCATCCAGCTCCCCGCTTGTGCCCTGGGAAACAGCGGAGGACGGCTCCAGGCCTTGAGCCCCTGCACCTACATGGGCCATCCTCCATTGCTTTCCCAGGGCACAAGCAGGGAGCTGGATGGGAAGTGGAGCAGCCAGGATATGAACCGGCACCCATATGGGATCTCAGTGTACGTAATGGGAAGATTTAGCAGCTAGGCTATCACATCAGAACCTGGATGGAAGATCTCTATGTATCTCTTTTCTATAAAACTGAATAAAAATAAATCTTTAAAACAAACATTTTGTTATAACATTAACTATTGAGGCAGGGAGAAGCTGTAATGCTGGCGCCTTGCTGGTACAAATATACGGCTTTTCCTCAAAAGTTGTGATCCAGCAGTTTCCTAGATGCACTCCCACAAGCATTAAAAACCAGGAGCTCACACAGATACCTACACATCAATGTTCCTGACAGTAATAATCAGAACTGCCAAGAAGAGGGACAAACCTAGATCATAGATGTGGATGACTGGAAGCATCAAATGTGCTCTATAGGCATGATGGAATATTACTCTGCCTTAAAAAGGAAGGGGATTTGGACCTATGTTGCATGCAGTATGGATGAACAACATGACAACAGCCAAAGGCGGCAGACACAAGAGGACAGATATTGCACAGGTCTACCGATATGACAGTAGCCCAACACAGAGCTGGAAAGCAGAACACAGGTGACAGGGGCTTGGGGAGTGGACAGAAAGGGCAGTGACTGCTTTATGGGCACAGAGTTCTGTTTGTGACGACTAAGAGTTCTGAAAATGCGCAGGCTCAGTGCTGATCACAGCAGGTACAGCTGCTCCCCTTCCCACCTAACTTCCTGCCAATACGCCTGTGAAGCAGCGGAGCATGGCCTGGGTGCTTGGGTTCTTTGTCCACCTGGGAAACCAGAAGCTTCCGACTAGTGGCTTTGGTCTGGCACAGCCTCAGCTGTTACGGCCATAAATGGAGTAAGCTCCTGCTTCTCTCTCTGCCACTCTGCCTTCAAGTGAACAAATAAATTCCGAAAAAAAAAAAAAAGTACACTGGTGAAAGGCATAAACATTGAGGACATCTTTCATGTCACTTAACTGGACACTGACAATGGTAGGAAGTCTTTGTATAATGGAAGCCAAGGCTAAGCTGCCTGGGCACTGCAGTTGTACCTACTTGAACCCTGCCTCGCATCCCCACACCGAGGGCCTCCAGGGCGACGACGTGACTGCTGACACACTATCTCTGCCACACACGTGGCAAGGACTGGGGCTAAAGAAAGCAAAGTGCCAAGCACAGGCTGCCACTGTGGCTCTTCTGGCTCTTCTGGCTCTTCCAGCTGCTCTGTGGAGCAGAGCAATAGTGAAGATCGCATGTCTGACTGACAGGCAGCAGGAAAACCCCTCGTGTTCACAGGTACAGCCAGAGGTGGCCACAGGGCTGCAGGGACAGGGTAAGGGTACGCTAGGTTTCCTCAACTCCAAGATCAGGAACAAGTGTGTGGCACACAAGCTGACAAAGCCCCACCGTGGCTTGCCGGGGACAGTGCGTGCACCTGCTCCAGGGCTGTTCTGAGAACTCTATGCAAGGGTGCTTGCTCAGCAGGGCTCCAGAGAAAGACAGCATCTCTCCACAGCAGAACCCAGAGCTCAGGGCTGAAGACAAGTCATCCGCCGGGAGCATCAACGGAGGCTGGCACCTCATGGCACTCAGCAGCCCCGCCGCCTCCTGCGCATGTCGACCTCACACACACGAAGCAGTCTGTACAGGAGCAGCGATTACCCCGGAAGGGCAGGGAAACAGCCACCTCGAAGTGTCTTACTCTGTAAGATTCTAAATTTCAAAATCAAAATGCACAATTTTCAAAGGACACGATATTATGTTAAGACAAATGCAAGTGAGGCTCTTTCCACATAGGCACGCTCCTTTCCATACGTGCCTCTCGACAAACGGAGCAAAGAAAGGCACATAATTTCCCCAAAGTGGATATTTCTACTTTGCAAATCTGGCTTAGAGGGATGAGCAAAGATCACACTTAAAAACCCACGAGCACAAATAAACCGACTTTAATAGATATTATTTTGTATTTATATAGCGCCTTCTTCAAGAACCTTAAATGCTTTAGACATTATCTGTAATGAATCCCCACAACAACCCTGTGAGGTAGGTATTACTCCCGTTGCACAGGACAGGGAGACTGAAGCACAGAGAGGTTAGGTGACTTGCCCAAGGTCACACGGTTCCATTCACTGCAGAGCCAGGACCCGAGAGTCTCGGCCTCCCAGCTCCTAGCCCGACACCTCAGGAGAGAATCTTGGAGGAAGAGAGTAGTATGTTATGGAAAATGAGGTCTTCCTACTGCTACCACGGCAACGAAAGGAAAACAAACCCTGTACTGATGGTGAGAACCACAGGCCCCGTGGGGCACACCTCCCTCAGCATGGTGGCCGCAGCCTCCTGCTTCTAGTCTTGGGTCATCCTCTCAAAGCCAGGCTTCCGAGACCCATGCCCTGTGGCTTATAAGCAGAACTTGATTTATTCACTTTTTGTTTTGATGACTTATGGGAATTCTCATTCCAGTACATCAACAGGGGCCGGTCATCATCCCCACAGACACATACAAGGCTACAGAGCAACCGAGCCGCCACCTGCCCTCACACTGATCACGCGGGATCAGCCCTCCTCCCTCACCGTGCCTGTACTGTTTGCCCCGATCCTAACCCTACACATGTTAGAAGTATAACGAGTTTCTGATGAGCTTCAAAATGGTGTACTTGGACCCGGGGTATGAAGCACCGTCAGCCCGTGGCCTCTCCCCTTGGGTCAGACTACCAGCTACAGTGTGGATGTGAACAAAGGACGTGGACTACCATGGAACGTGGTATGAAAGCAAGAACTTGCGTTAGTAGGAAATTTCACTTGGCTTTTACTGCATATTTCTTCTTAATGCAAAAAAATGCAAATACAAACGCAGCATGGCATTTCGGCGCTGTGTCTCTGTGCAAATGACTTCATCTATCTTTCCCATGTGTGCTGTGGCCCGGCTGCAATCACCACGGACTCCACTCCACTCTGTCAACTGCACAGAAAGTTGCAGAGGCAAAGCTGGACGAGGCCCTCAATGTGTCCCCTCCACGACCCCTGCTGCTCTCACTGTCCCGTCCCTACGCTCTTGGTTGTGACTCTCTGTGTGACGCTGGCAGATCAGGCAAGTTATACATAATTTGTATAAAACAACTCCAGCCAGGGTGAGGCTTTAGAAATTGCATCTTAAAAAGCAACCTGTCAAAGTAACTAAATACTATGATTTTCTCCCAGCACATCTGCTTAAGCAGCCCAATTAGCTAAGTGACCCTGTTAAAGATTTGTTTACAGAACGAATAGGTGAAGTCATTTCCTGAGCTAAAAGATACAGATAATAAGTGTTAATAATAGCAGCACAAAAAACATTCTTTTTCATTGTTTTTTCCATAGTCAACAGTTTTAGTAAAATAACATTAGAAAATTACAGAATTTTAAAAAAAGTACTGCTCAAAAAGAGTTTGATAAGAATATCCAAGGCCTGATTGCTATTATGTTGAATCGTTTTCAATTATTTTCTGCAAGTTACATTCAGCTACTGTCAGACAACTTACTGATGCATGGAAAAATGTCAATTGCCAACAGTTTACATACATGTTACACCACATAGATTACTTTTTTAAAACCCCCAGTAGAATGAAGTCTTAACACCAATTTTCATTTCTGAACACATTTCCAGTAAGATTTCATGAAGGCAGAGTCGCGGGTCAGGGAGGGGAGGAGAGGTTTTACTGATGAATTTCATTAACATGTGATCTTTTAGCTGGTTATCCACACTCCGAGGGTTATGACAAATGAAAGCATCCCTCCTTTCCAGGGTAAAAAAAAAAAAAATTACATTAGAAAATAACCTAGCTGTCATGGCATGAATTTTCCAAGCAAGGTCTCAGCCTGAAACATTAAAATATTTCAGGATGCTAATGATCAGTGTACCACCACTGCACTGGGGTTTCTTGGGTCATTCCAACAACTATAGGGAATTGTGTTTTTTTTTTTTTAATTTTACTGAAATTAAAGCTGAATAAAATAACTGACACATAAACTATAATATTAAAAAAAAATAGTTAGCCAGAGATATCAGTTCCTCCTGGAAAATAATATTTACTGCCTCTCACTGTACAGGTTTCAGATACAATGTAATATTCAGCTTAGAAACAGAAACAAACAAAGGATTACTTAAACTGACAAAAACTAATAAAATTATGCTCAGATTTACTGACAGAATCATGGGCACTTCGTACAATACTTAGACTCTACCAGTTTTAAGTAAAATAAATAAGGAAAAATTATAATTACAAAGCCAGTCTTTCCCCTTGGGGAAACAAAAAGCCACTTTTGACCAATTGTTCCCTACATATACATATACTGTATATTATTATAAGCTTCTTCAGAGAAGCAAAACATATTTGTCTTCCTGACACTGGATTCTAGTATCTGTTAGGCTTGTACACCAGGAAGGCAACTGCAAGTGTTGGGCCCAAAAGTACTTCCGGTTCAGGTTTGAAAAGACACAGGCCAATCTATGCAGTGTGCTCCACGTCACTTCCTTCAACTAACACACAACCCAGCACGGATCCCCATTCTTTCTGCCGCACCCCCAAGGACGCCAAACCATTACTGATGCAATTAACAAAGAGAAAATGCGCGTCGATAACTGGAAGGCTGTTTTACGAGAGGAGCTGGTATCTCTGATTTCACTTCCTGGTCGGATGAACTGCACGGACAGCATGATACCTGAGCAAAGAAATCAACTACCATGATAGGAAGGGCTTGTGAATCCAGTCTTTGCTTTATTCGTGTGCAAAGTGTGCTACTGCCCCCTGAGCTTCCTGCATTTCTCTTTTCTTGAAAAATCAGTGCTTGATCCTTTCCGACACAACCAGAGAAGAAATGAGGCAGAAGTGTCTCTTCGTCACGGCTTCCCTCAGTCCCGGGACTGGTAGAAAAGGATGTAACCAGACTCAGAGTTCTTGGAAATATCTGATGTCAACCCGTAGAATTCTTCAATAGCTTGTGCATCTATTTTCTGGGAGGCAAAAGATACACATTAGTCCATCAGTGAGCTCTCGACAAGCAGGACAGCTTACATGGAAAAGAGGGACAAGAGTCAGGATCGGTGACGTTGGGCGTGAGGAGCGCTCTCGCACAGGCCTGGGCCGCGTGCAGTGGTACAGACCTGCACAGTGCTCAGCAGCACCTTCCAAAGCTAAGCAATTCCACTCCCAGGATAGGCTCAACTATGGGAAACTGCCACCTGTCGGCCTTTTGGCCATTTTCAAACGTCCAAGCTGTGTCAAAGGGCGATTGAGGTAATTTTATTTATAATAATCAACAATTGGCACAGATGCAAAATTCTAACTTGGCATAGCCATATAGCAAATGTCATCAAGCAATAAAAAAGATGTACTGCAAGCAATTAGAATGAACTTCATAAATATGCTAACGAATGAAAAAAAAATGTCACATTTGATGAGCTTGTTTATGTTCAAGGATAGGCAAAAATAATTACAGTGATGACAGCCCAGGGCTCTCGGGAGGTGGATGGGAAAAGAGGGCAGAAGAGCTGGGGGTACAGGCCAGGGGAGGAATGAGAGCCTAGAGCAGGAATGGAGGCGTCCCAGCCACTGACCTGGGTGCCGCTCAGCAGTGGGGATGGGGGTGGACAGGAAGGGCAGGTGTTCATACATGCAAAAATAACATTTGGCCACTTTATCCATTGTGTGTTACAAGCTCACTTGTGGGTTTTTAAACTAATACATTCAAAAAACGAAAAGAAAAAAGAAAACTAGCTCTATTGTCGAAAGTTTTCTGTTGTTCATTTCAGATGTACAAAAGTTACTTTGGCCAACGGGAGGCCCTGACCTCAAGAAACTTAAAAAAAACTAGGAATTAAGACTACAATCCACAGACCTGGGCATCTGCCTAACATTCATCAATAAGCTAGATATAAATGAGAAACTTTGAGAAAACTAACGCAATTACAGAAACAGAAAGAAAGTAACTACTTACTTCTACAATGTCGTCATCGAACAACAACCAGAAATCATGACTCTTGACTATTGCAATATAATGGCCTCGATTGGGACCACTAAAACAAAGCAGAACAAGATAAAGACGAGTTAACAACACACATGGTTTCCTAATGCTATTTTTCATGCTCACGCACGAACTATTAAATGCTATAGAGAAAATGAAAGATGAAATGCTTCTAATCTCTTCTTCCCTTCAAAATAAAGCTGCACTAATCCGAAATAGCAGTCAAGTTTAAAATGAAATAATTAGCACACTACTTTGAGAGATACAACCAATGTTTGACTTAAAGATTTATCTTTATTGCAAAGGCCAATTTACAGAGAGGAGAGACATAGAAAAGATCTTCCATCTGCTGGTCATTCTCCAAATGCTTGCCTTGGTCAGAACCGAACCCATCCAGGAGCCGGGATCTTCTTCCGGGTCTCCCACACAAGTGCAGGGTCCCAAGGCTTAGAAACACCCTCAACTGCTTTCCCAGGCCACAAGCAGGGACTGGCTGGGAAGTGGAGCAGCCAGGACATGAACCAGTGCCCATATGGGATGTCGTGCTATAAGGTGGAGGATTAGCCAACGGAGCCATGGCACCCACCCCACAATGCTTTACCTATACGGAGCTAGGCTATCAAAATTCGGTAGTCTTTTTTATTAGCATTCAAATTATTTTTTGAGATTTTTCAAATTTGCTTCTGTGAAAAATTAAAGTGCATTTTTCTAGTGTGTTAAGAAAGAGGAGTTTCACAGGAGAAGACACTGAACAAAATTACGAAATAATGTACACTGAACTATTTCTCAGCCTGCCTCCCTTACAAAGTGTTGTCCCCAGGCCCTCCTCCCCCGCCCCAGGAAAGCTTGTGCAATGTGATGCTTGAAAACAGCACAGCGCGTGAACACACTGGTCTGGAACCAGGCTTGGCTTTCACCCTCCCTCAGTCTCTCTCACCATCACAAACCTCGACTGAAAGCTCTGGACATACATGAATAACTAAGGGCTGTTTTTTCTCTAAGAGTTGTTTACACAAGGATACAGCAAAGATATTGAACCTCTGCCACTTTGAATGTGATAATAAAAGCTAATGTATATATTTTTGTTGATTCCATAATAGGACAAAATATGAAATAACTTCCAACACAAATAATTCTTTATGATAAGTGCTATTTTAAAGACAGGTACTGGGCCCAGGACAGTGGCCTAGCAGCTAAAGTCCTTGCCTTGAACATGCCGGGATCCCAAATGGGCACCGGTTCTAATCCCGACAGCCCCGCTTCCCATCCAGCCCCCTGCCTGTGGCCTTGGAAAGCAGTCGAGGACAGTCCAGAGCCATGGGACCCTGCACCCACGTGGGAGACCTGGAGGAAAGTCCTGGATCCTGGCTTCGGACTGGCACAGCACCAGCCATTGTGGTCACTTGGGGAGTGAATCACTGGACGGAAGATCTTTATGTCTCTCCTCCTCTCTGTACATCTGACTTTGCAATAAAAATAAACTAAAAAAAAAAAAACAAACAAATAAAGGCAGGTACCAGATATCAGAATAAAGCCCCTTTCTAAAATGGCTCATAGTTTTCTGATCCGATCCTACAGGTGAGATGAACATCTTAGAGTGACACAAGAGGACTTTTTCACTTCAGAGGGCAGTGACACCTCTGTTGTTAACAAGGCATCATTACTGGGTTAGTAAGTCCATTCTCTCAAGGTTTGAAGGGCTGAGCTAAAGGGTCTTCTTGAAGAGAAGAGGGTAGGAAGGGAAGAGAAGTCACAGGAAGTATGAGGAATAGAGCAAAGCATGGCGAGAAGGAAGGTAGAGAGAGAGGGCTGAGACCTGGGAGGGGGCAAGACGAAACAAATGGAGCAGCTCTATCCTGTGGCAAAGGGCCAGACAGAAACACAGTAGACAGAAGTGAACTTGATAAAGTAATGCAAAGAGAGATGACAGGCTGTGGCCATCTAAGGAAGCCGACTCACCTTCTGAACCCTAAACATGCTCCAGTGAGTCCACTCCCAAACGTGTGCATACTGCTGTGTGAAGTGACTGGGGGCTTACTTTGTGGGGAGGACACACTGGACCAGTCTGCTGTACATACGGTCAGGCGCAGGAACCATGGCTGGGGGCAGGCCTGCTGGGGGTGACTGGGGGCCACTCTGACCATGCCACAGTTCCCAGTGGTGTATATGAGGGCCGGATATGTGGTGGGCAGTTGGGCTGGGCTGCCGCATCTGTTGATTTGCGTAAGAGATGGGGCTGGAAACAGAACTGACCCAACAACTGCAACCACCAGTGTGTGTGTGTGCAGGCTGATGTGAAGGACGGGACTGAGCCAGACCCCATACTGGTTGGCACACACAAGAGTTAGTTCTGGGGTCACCTCTGGTGAGGTTTTTTGGGGACACTCCTCAAAAAGACCCTGGACTCAGAACTCCAACCACGGGGAAAATTGTAGGATCTGTGCGTGTCAGAACTCTGCCTCCTCCGTTGTTGAAGAAGGTGCAGCAGACGGTACGCCCCGGTGCACATGGGGGGCAGTTCGCTGGGGCCTGCAGAGGACATCTAGTACCATAGCAGAGGATGTAGGGCAGGTGCTTCACTATGGAGCAGAAGGTCTGACACAGGCTTACAGGGTAACACTTAGACTCAGCAAACATGTTGCTATAAATTTCCTATTTGCCAGGCTTTGGGATGCAGAACAAGCATGTTCTCGCGGCATATGAAACATATCTGCAAATAAATCTGATACAATTTAAAAATGGGAAAATATTTTAAAATACTGTCTTAAGAACAACTGATTTGCTATTTAAATGACACTTGCTCTTATAAGGAAAACACATAAAAACTGACCAACACATACAAAGCAGGGACTGAGGGTGAGCAAGCCGCACCAAGCCTGTGTGTGAAGGCAGAGGCAGCCCTAGGCGGTGAGGTCACAGTGGTACTGCTGTCGAGGAGTAGTACGGTAAAGGGATTCACATCTCCCACTCAATGCCAACAATACAGTAAAATACTTAACATTATATGATTATTTTAAGCTGATGCTTGCCCAGGAAATGACACATGAAGTCACACTGCCCAACACGGCAACAATTTGAGAATGTTCTGAGTTACTTTCTCCATTAAGATCAACACAGGTGTTCATGCAGAGAAGCCACGCAGAGCGTGTGAGGAGGGTGAGGAGGAGATAGCACGTTACACCGGGTCAACGGGAAACAGACACAGCAGCTGAGTCAGAAAGCTGATCCCTGAAGCGTTGGTCTAAACGTGCTCATAATAATCAGTAACAAATACATGAAGCTAATTTCAGAAATGACTGATTGGGCATAAAATCATAAAATCCATCTAAGCATCATTTTTTCCCACTATCCCCTCCCCCACACACAAAGGAAAGGAAAAGCAGCAGACCTGAAAGTTCTAGAAACTCGAATCTAGTACTCAGAGTCACATTTAAACAAGGTAAGTACAAATCGAGGCAGTCATACTTTAATATGTAACACTTGAAGGAAGCAATGATATAAAGTGAAAAATCAGGAATGAAAAGCTTTCTTTCCTAAAAGTTTGCCATGTGAATCATCAGTAAACACCCCTGGCGTGTGCACTGGCCCCGTGAACCCAGGAACCACAGCAGGTCCCAAGGTCACACGTACCTGCCACAGTGAACCACAACAGCGACAAGGTCGTACATCCTGTCAGGATTGGTTGCATCGCCCGACGTGTTGAACAGACGAAGTTCTAAAGGAAAAACTACCCGATAAGAAAGTTTGGTGTATCGATGAAGTTGATCCATATACTTAAATCTCTTTAGGTGTAGGGCTAAAATCATGGGCAGTTTTTTAACTTTCATCCTACGAAAAAAAAAAAAAAAAGACCAAAAAAAGTCACCAGAGGCACGGCACATCTCTACACTGTGTTCTAAAAAAGAAATACCACATTTTAGGAAATATATCTCATAATCACCACTTTTAATAACCCAACACTGTTTACTTTTACATATTTCCACCAATTATTACTTTTGTTTGAGAAGGAGGGAGGTAGAAAGGGAGGAAGGAGAGAAGAAGGGAGAAGAGGGACAGCAGGTGAGCGGACGACAGACAGAATACATAGGAATGGACTCATCCACTGGCTCTCCCCACGTTCCCAATAGCCGAGGCTGGGCCAGCCCAGAGCCAGGAGCCGAGAACTCAGTCGGCGTCTTCAATGTCGGTGTCAGACACCCAAGTGTTACCTTAGGACACGCACATTAGCAGGATGCCGGAATCAGGAGTGAAGCTGGGACCTGAACTCGGGTAATTCTGAAGTGGGTTGTGGGCACCCAAATGGCATCTTTCAATGTTTTAAAAGTCAACTTTTTAAAAGAATTACTATTTGAAAGGCAGAGATAAAGAGAAAGAGCTCTTCCAAACCAATGGTTTACTTTCCAAATGCCAGCGACAGACAGAGCTAGCCTAGGCAGAAACTGGAAGCCAGGAATTCAAATTGGATCTGCCTTGGGTAAGAGTCCCAACAACTTGAACCATCACCTGCTGCCTCCTGGGGAGCTTACAGAAGGAGGAAGTTGGACCCAGGCCTGGGACCTAGTCACTCTACTGTGACATGCAGGCATCCCAAGCAGTGCCATAAATCACTGACACACCTGATCAAGCAACCCGGTAACCACAGGGGGGCGGGCAGTCTACCCTTCCAAGTAATTTTTACATGGGTAAAATCAACATTGTGAATATCATTAGACCAACCAAACCCATCACTCAGTGTGACACAGCATTCAGTATTCTCAGAAAAAGGTATTAGTTCTTCATTAAAAATCTTAACTTTTCTCACACAGATCCTTCCTGCCAAGGTTAAATGCATGGGAGGTTAAGTGGTGGCAGAGGAAACAATGGGTTCCATGAAATTGCTAATGCCTGTAGATGTGAGTGTAGACTGAAATCCACTTTTCTATAAACCTATATATCAACCTATGTAATGCAGACAACAGGAAACTGAAACAAGATCATTAAAGGCCACTCAATTAAGGATGTTCATCAGAGAGAAGAAATAACAGCCTGGGGGCGGCTACTCTGTCCTAGCAGGTAGACTCCCAACTGATACCTGTTCAGTGGTTAAAATCTGACAGGGAAATAATGATAATGATACCTTCTCCTCTCCCCCAAAGAAAGAACTAACCCTGGCTATATATATCCTAGAAAGAGGATGGAATGAGCTGGAAGTTACGGAGTTATGGATTTCCCTGTGGGGCACAGGCTCCCCTGCATATTACCCAGAAGTGCCGCCGCCCCCGGGAGTGCCCCTGAACTTTTATTCCTCCTAAAACAAAGTCTCACCTTCCCTTACGGCTCAGTGCAAATGCACCACCCTCCTAAGCCCTCAGCCAGCACTTGATAGGCTCCTTGCAGGGTGCTGAGCTTCTGCCACAGGACAGTGCCGAGGTGACCACGTGACCATGGCTCTTCTATACGCTGAAGTCTAGCAGGCAGTGACCCCTTTGTTTTTGCTGCTCCACCAACCTGCAGTAATACCTGGCACATGGAAGGTATCTACCACAGGCAGCAGAACTGATTTTCACATGGTTTTAGTGAAACAAAAACACTTCCCTGAATACAACAATAAGGTGTACTAAGATACTGCCACTAATAAAGTGAAAACGAAAGTCACTTTGCATCCTGATGCAAAGCCTGCAGTCCATAGATTGGAGATGCGGTGGGCAGCTTACTCCTGCGGAAATGTTCACAGTGCAGTTAGCCTGGCCTATGAGAAAGAGGAACCAGAGGAAGGCATAGAGCCATTTCTGGAGAGCAATTCAGCAACGTGAGTGAAGAACCACTGTGCCTTTGCCTCAGTAATCCCATTTCTACAAATCCACGTTAAATGCACCATCTCAGAGACAGCATTTTTGAGAAAATTTACTTCTAAAGCTATATTACACTGCTTAAAAAATCCTAACTATCCAACAACAGAAAAATGTTGAGATGAATCACAAATACAAAGATGAAAAAACTATGAAAACTTCAAATAATGCTGATGAAAGTTTCTACGGGGCATTGTGAAATTCTCATGTTAAAAAAGTCAAGGGGCCTGCATGATAGCTCAATTGGCTAATCCTCCACCTGCAAGCACCAGGATCCCATATGGGCGTCTCACGTCCCAGCTGCTCCACTTCCCATCCATTTACCTGCTTGGGGCCTGGGAGAGCAGTAGAGGATGGCTCAAAGCCTTAGAATCCTGCACCTGCATGGGACACTGAGAAGAAAATCCTGGCTCCTGGCTTTGAATCAGCCCAGCTGCAGCTGTTGTGGCCATTTAGGGAGTAAACCAGCAAATGGAAGATCTTTCTTTCCTTCTCTCTGTACATCTGCCCACCTGATAAATAATTAAAAAAAAAAAAAAAAGGCAGTCGGGCCAGCACAATGATGCAATGGGTTAAGCTGGTACCCAGATCCCAGGTAGTGGTCTGGGAAAGCAGTGGAAGACAGGCCAAGGGTCTGGGCCTCTGCCGTCCAACATGGGAGACCTCGATGGAGTTCCAGGCCCCTGGCTTCAGCAAAGGCCACATCTAGCTGTTAAGAACGTTCGAGGAATCAAACAGCGAATTAAAGATCTCTTTCTTTGTCTCACCCTCTCAAATAAATAAATTTTCTAAGAATAAAGCTATTATTTATATATTTAATAATTCAACTTTACTGAACACCAGATTTTCTTTTTTTTTTTAAAGATTTATTTTATTTTTATTGGAAAGGCGGGTAGACAGAGAGGAAGATCTTTCGTCCGATAATTCACTCCCCAAGTGAGCGCAAGGGGCCGATGCTATGCCTATCCGAAGCCAGGAGCCTCTTCCGGGTCTCCCACGCAGGTGCAGGGTCCCAAAGCTTTGGGCTGTCCTCGACTGTTTTCCTGGGTCACAGGCAGGGAGCTGGAAGGGAAGCGGGGCTGCCGGGATAGAACCGGCGCACATATGGGATCCCGGGCGTGCAAAGCGAGGCCCTTAACCACTGAGCCATCGTGCCGGGCCCATGAACACCAGATTTTCAACTAAGCCCATGCAGAATTACTAACATGAAATTTTTACAGAATAGCAAAGTATATTTTGAAAATTCTCACTGAAAATGCAGGTGCAGAAGACAAACTTCTGGCACTAGTCAAAAAGCATCAGTGTAACTGTTATGGTTTAGAAGAACAGAGAGAATAAAGTTGGTCTCAGAATTAGGAAAACTGTACTTTTAGAAATTAAGCATGAGCAGAGGTCAGCCTCAGGAGCAGCCGTGTGTGTGTGTGTGTGTGTGTGTGTGTGTGCCCAGAGAGCAAAGATTTAAATGGTAGCGTATAAAGTACATTTGATTAGACAACACACAAAGCAGAGTTTTCGGAGGCAAATCATTGGCCCACCACAAAACCCAAGCGCCGATGGGGATGAATACAAGCTTATCAAGACACAAGTTGATGTAAAGCCATATTTTAAAGTTGATGAGAGTCTTGCTTCCAAAGTTGTCCTCATACTGAAATCATTCAGGAAAAGAGCAATCTGCTAGGATATACATGTAAGTGAGATTTCTTATGTAGATTTTGCAGAAGAATGAAAAAAGAAGTTTTTGTCCAAAATATCAATGATATCAATATACCAAAGGATACAAAAACGTTGGCCTTCCTTGAAGAGAGGTTACATTAGGGAGCTCCTGGTCACACTATCATTATTTTAACAAATAACAATTTGTCTTCAAGTAAACTATTTTTTAAAAATCGAGAACAGCTAGAGTGTAGGAGAGCTGACCTTCAGCAGACTCAGAAAACTTGAACTATGAATTTCAGCTCAGCTTTATCTCAACCATGGAAAGGCAGCTGGTCTTTTATACCCCCCTCAGCACTTGTGAGTCACTAGGCAAGGACTGCAGTGGCTCTTAAGAAACTCCCAGAAACGTCTTTCTCCAGTGGCCACAGCGGAGTCCTACATGGAGCCGGCAGGTATTGGTATCTGAACTTAAATACTGCAGAGCACACTGGGGCAGAAGGAACACCACCTCTGGTGGCACCGCCCCTACCAGGAGCACCAGCCACTCAGCAGTCACAAAGGATGCCACCATGACAGAACCAAAGTGGTGTCTGTCCTTTTCCCCAAAGAACTGCCAGAAACTGCAGGCCATGCAAGGAGGTCCATAGATAAAGTCTGGGCACTGATTTGCAAGCTTGGCCACAGCTGAACCTAACACCCCAGTCACAAGCACTGAACAACCTGCTCCTAACATCCTGTTAGAACAGACACGTGGCAAAGGGACAGACATACAACTCTCTAAGGACTGAATTTCATACTCCTTTAAACTGACATTCATAAGGCACATTACCGTGGGAGCCAGCTGCAAGGAGGACACTAGACGCTTCAGAGAGATGTAAGCAAAGGGAGACCATTTAGACAGCAGTCCCTCACCTCCACCATGTGCTGCAAGTGAAAGACAGGTGACAGCTACTCATGGGGCCCAAAGAAGGTGGTGCCAAGCAGTCTCTGAGGAGCAGGCCAAGGAGCAGGAAGCTGTCAACGGGTCAACAGAAGAAAGGGCTTAACTAACCAGAAATGCCACTCGGTCAGAACACTTAGGGTGTGTGTGCATGGGTGGCTGCAAGTGCTGACTATTGGCAAGCTCCTATGGCTGCCACAACACCACAGTTACCACTGGCAGGAACCGGCTCCGTGGGAGTAAGATATGGATCCAGTTCTGAAACTGGAGTAAAAGGCAAGGCGTTGACGGCAGGTACCAGCAGGTTCGGAATCACTCCATGTAGGGCAGCTCCTCCCACTGGAACATGTAGCCATGTGACATGACACTGAGTCATTTAGCACTGCATGGGACTCCTTCAATAC